AAAAAAAACTGAGAGTGTTCTCAAGTTTATCTCTATTACAGGGTCATTCTCACTCACAATGTGGCAGAGAAGGGGAGGAGTGTCCACAAAGGGCAGGAAGTTGTGCCTCCCTCTGGGTGTGTCTGTCGCCACTGGGACCAGTGGCTTGGAGGGCTTGTGTCTATTCCCACACTGACCCCTTCTCCACACTGGGACCCTGCCTTTTTACCATGCTGATGTGTGGGACAGGACCCAGGGCCCTGGAGCCTGCAGTGGCCAATCCTGGCTGGACAAAAGGGCACAGCTTCTGGCAGCAGCCTGAGCTGGAGGAGGGCAGGCAGGCGGGAGGGGTTGGCTGTCCTTCAGGTGACCAGGGCACTGTCGGGCAGGTCCAGGCTGACCAGTACATTCCTGAGGAGGACATCCATGGAGAGGTGGACGCCATTGAGCGCCAGCTGGATGCCCTGGAACACCGCGGGGTCCTGCTGGAGGAGAAGCTGCGTGGTGGAGTGCATGGTGCGGGAACGCTGCAAGGGCTGGCGGTGGGGGGTCTCTCTTCCTGGGGGGAGCTGAGCTGGGACTTGCTATGAGCCCTGGCCTTAGTGGGTGTCTGGCTTCCAGAGGGCCGTGAGGACGACATGCTGGTGGACTGGTTCAAGCTTATCCACGAGAAGCACCTGCTGGTGCGGCGGGAGTCTGAGCTCATCTATGTGTGAGGCCCCTCCCCTCGGCCCCTCCCGCCCTCCTTAGTCCAGAGAGCCTAGAACTGAGACCCTGTGCCCTCTCCCCTCCCTACTGGGTGCCGGGCAGGGCAGCCAGGCAGCGGGGACAATAGTTAATAGTCACCTCACTCCCACCCACCAGCTTCAAGCAGCAGAACCTGGAGCAGCGCCAGGCTGACGTCGAGTATGAGCTCCGGTGCCTTCTCAACAAGCCGGGTGAGCACAGCCACATGCACTCCGGCACCGACCCTGGGGCTCTTCCCGTCTGGCTGTGGAGCTGATGGAGCCAGCCCCATGGGGGATGCGTGAGCAGACTTACAACAGGGCCAGAGCAGTAGGGCGTGCACGGTGGCTATCTGTGTCGCCTCTGAGGAGGGAGAGATTGTACCAGGTGATAACTAGGCTAGCACATGGCAGGAGAGGGAACCGCAGGATGGTGTGTGGGTGTGGAGGGCCATGGTGTTGGGGATGATAGGCTGTCGGGGAACACCAGGCCCAGGAGCAGCCCAGCCTGTTTTAGGCCACACAGTCCTGTGTTTTGCCACTAACTTGCTGCGTGACCTCGGGCAGGTTTCTTAGCCTCACTGAGGCTCAGTGGCTTCATATGTAGGACGGGAGTGAAGGTACGCACCTTGTAGGGTGTTCTTGGAACCAGAAGACAGTGGGGGGGAAACGCTATGTACCCTCGGATGGGCCAATGGCTGATGGTCATTATGTGGCTGAGTTGGGGTTTGGTGAGGGAGGGCGCCTTACGTGCCCTGTGGCCATGACATGGAATGAACTGCAGCTGCAGGGGACACCTCAGGGCTATGGAGAATCCATAGCTGGGAGCCAGGGCTTGGACCACTTTTGTATGGCCCAGGCATGGTGCCAACCCTGGGAGTGGGCCATTGTTTCCATTTAACAGATGAGGAAACGGAGGGCCAGGGAGGCTGGGGGACTTGCCCATTGGTCGTGGAGCTGGGCTTCTGTCCATGTTTTTTACCTTGGCCTGTCCCCGCACAAACAGCCACCCACCTCCCGCCCTGCCTCACCTGCTGGGACAGTGGTCTTGTCTCTCCATTGACTGGGAAACTTGGGAGGCTGGAGTGTCCCTGAGGAAGCCACAAATGTCCAAGGCCTCCACTACCGTCAAGTCCCTCCCACTTCTCCAGGTGGCTGGGATGAGGCCACTGCTCTAAGGGAGCCACAGTGACACCCTGTGGCTGCAGTGGGCGCAGTCCCTCTGCCTCCTGGGCCAGCCTGTCCCTGTCCTGTGTGGTAGCAGCACCTCACAGATGTCAGCCTGTCCCAATGTTGCTTTTAGAGGGTGAGAGGCTGGTTTATAAGGCCCCGGGTGGGTTGGAGACCCACGAGACACCATACAGGCCATTATTTGGGGGTGTCAGGCTGCCCAGATTCAAATACTGGCTCCACCTGCACTATGTGATGCTGGTTCAGGACTTAACTTCCCTGAGCCTCAGTTTCCCCATGTGGACTGGGGACATAACTTACTCGGGTCCCATTTGAGAAATGGCAGAGCAGGATTTGAACTTGGGTGGTGACTCTGAAGCCCATGCTCAGAATAAGGTTGGGCTACCTGCTCCTGAATTTTAGCAAGGTGAGGTGGGAGGGGGATGGGTAATAGCTGAGGGGGCCTCAGGATATTTATTTCAAGACGGGGAGGCCTGTGGTGGCAGATGTTGTGGAAGTGAGGCCAAGTGTGTGCACCCATCCCTGGAAGTCTGCAGGCTGGGGGAGTGGGGAATACCCAGGCATGGGGGCCCTGAGGGTGGGCCTGTGGGATGGCTCAGGGCCTGGAGGGGAGAGAAGGGAGAGAGGCAGCAGGGGTGCTCGGCCTCAGGGAAACCTCCTGCTGGACTCCTTGCCCCCAGCGACCCCTAATCTACTCTCCTCCATGGCCTTGGGTGGATGTCCCAACATGTCACTTGGGTCACGTTGCTTCTCCTGCATGTGGACCCCTGGGGTTCCCTGTTGTCTCCCCACCCCTGCCCCACTCTGGCCCACCTGAATCCTGCCTCTTGCAAGAAGCCACCTCGTGAACCTGTGTTGAATGGATGAATGAACATGAGCAGGAAACCCTTTGGTCCGTGCTGGCCTCTGTTCTTAGAGTGTATGTGCTGGCCCTGCTGGGGCCCCTTGAAGGGTGTTTTATCCTTCTAGAACAACCTGCATTTCCCCATGAACTTGTAAACCCCACCCCTCTGGACTCCTCCTCTCTGTGCTCATGGTATCTAGTGTGGGGCTGGCCTGTAGCTACCTGCAGCACTTAGACAGGAGCTTCTGGCATCCTGGGAAGGAGGAGGGTTTTCCCACCACTCACACCCCCAACTTTTGTCCCTGTGCAGAAAAAGACTGGACGGAGGAGGACCGGGGCCGGGAGAAGGTGTTGATGCAGGAACTTGTGACCCTCATTGAGCAGCGCAATGCCATCGTCAACTGTCTGGATGAGGACCGGCAGAGGTGACGTAGCTGGGGGAGGGGCCCAGAGCAGGTGGGGCTTAAGGCCCCATGGGTGGGCAGCTCCCTGGCAGAGCCTAAGACACAATCCCATACCCTGGGCTAGGCCAGCCCTGTCTTCACTGCCCGTGATCCCAGGACACCCTTGCTCAGCCCTGTGTGGTCTCAGAGGCTGGAAGGGACTTGGAGATTATCTGGTCCTTCCTCCTGTGGGATGCTTAGCTTTCCTTTCTTACTGCAGGGAGGAAGAGGAAGACAAGATGTTGGAAGCCATGATCAAGAAGAAAGGTCAGGCTGCTGCTGGGGATGAGGCTGGTGCCTGGGAGTTCAGGCCCAACTGAACTCTCCTGAGTGTGTTTAGCTGGGGGGTTGGAGGGCAAGGAGGCAGGTTTTTGTGGTTTTTTTTTTTCCGACCAGTAAGGGGATTGCAACCCTTGGTTTGGTGTTGCCTGCACCATGCTCAGCCAGTGAGCTAACTGGCCATCCCTATATAGGATCCAAACCTGCAGCCTCGGCGCTACCAGCACCACACTCTCCTGAGTGAGCCACGGGCCTGGCCCCCAAAGAGGCAGGTTGAATGGAGGATTGGAGTGGGCACTACAGGGATGGTTGTGCACAAACTCCCCAGCCTCTGTTTTGCTGGGAAGGCTGTGTATGGCAAGGGAGGCCAGCCTACAGCCATGAGGGCAGTGGCCCAGGCTTGGAGGGTGGCTGTGGGACATCCTGATGCCTACAGGAAGGACTGTGATATATGTGGCATTTTCTTATTTTTTTTTTTCCTTTTTGTCTTTTTTCGTGACCGGCCACGGATCGCAACCCTCAGTGTCGTGCCCGTACCGGACCGGGACCGGCCATGGGATCGCAACCCTCGGTGTTGCTCCCGCACCTCGCTCAGCCAGTGAGCGGCCGGTCTGTATGTGGGATCCGAACCCTCAGCGGGAGCGCCGCCGCGCTTCCCAAGCGGCGCACTGTAGCAGTGCGCCACCGGGCCAGCCCTATATGTGGCATTTTCCCAGGGGGGTTTGCCTTAAGGTGTATATTCCTCCTTGAGATCTGCAGCCGGTTTTGGTGGCATCTC